AAGGGTCAAGGGGTTAAGGGTTTAGGGTTAAGGTTTTAGGGTAAAGGCTAGGTTTTTTTAGGGCTTACGATATCATGTGGTATATGCTTCCAATAGGGTTTTAAGCTTTAGGGTAAAGAGATCAGGGTACTTGTTACAATAGTACATACTTGGGGCGCACACGGGCTTGTGTATAGGTACTTTGGGGCTTAATCATACAGGATAAATGTACACCTCCACCAAGTGGGAGGTGTCATGCCGCTATGCCAAACTTTGGGGACGGGGTGTTTTTATCAGCAGAGAATTCAATCAGCGAATCTGGGCTCGAGCCAAGATAGTGTCATGAATTACTGCTGTTTCGGGCTAAGAAATTACATGAGGACATGTTCCAGGTTCATCAGTTGAAGGGTTTTTGGTTCTAATTAGAGGCCACAAAGAAGATGGGCCGAACCTGCTCCCCTAATGAATGGAAAAACTACCTCGCACGCGCTGACTGTGGCAGGCAACATCGACTATGGCATCGGAAGGCTTCGCAGCATTCTGAAGGCTGAAAACTTTATAGCATTGGGGTGCTATAAGCACACAAATCCATATTCCTGCACATTCCTGAGCACTAAGTCAAAGAACTTGCAAAGGTTACTGTGGCACTCCGCAGTGGATGGGCTCGGTGCGCGCAAATATGGGGTTAACGGGTTAAGGTTAAGGCATGACCCTGATCCCACCTATGACTGCCCCTACCCACGCTGACAATCAAGGTCGCTGTGCCTGCCAAAATATCATGAAGAGACGCTCAAAGTCAAGAACATGGGATTCAACATGCTGTGGCAATAGAGTTGGTGCCGGAACGCGCTACAGAACTTCATGCATCCGCAAAAGCCACTCTACTCCTTATCTTTGAAACCTCGCAGTTCAATACCCAGGCACACAACCCAGTGTTGACTGGCCGAGAGCCTAGAAACCACAATCCCTCGTGCGCGTTTGTCCACGATCCCGGCTCAGTAGACGCATCTATCTATAGTCGCGGCTTCAACAGCAACCAGTTTCCACCGGAGCTCTTGTCTGCACTGTCTATTTCAGGGTATAGGATTTTCGGGTTTAGGGTCCAGGGTTGGTGCTGTGCTTAGGGTTATAGTTCCTGTCCATCTATAACGGCATACTAAGCCCAAAAGGTCCAGGCGCCTACTTAATGCAAACTTGCGCTTTAAAGGAGTTCCGATATGTATGCACTTCGGGCCTGAATGCGTTTTTGTTCACTGCGGGTATCTAGACCCTGTGGACAGCAACCCTGTACGGTAACTCCGGCTTCTGCAAAGGTTCATCATGAAAGCCACTTGCTTTCGAAGGAGACTTCCGAATTGGGGTATCTTTAGGGCTTGATTTTCTTTGCGTGGTTACGACGGGGCACAGGCAGGCTTAGAGAGTACTGACAAAGATGAAGGTAACTGAGGCAGAGTGTTGCTATCTGATCACGCTTTTGCATTGGTGCTTCCTGGGGTTTGGGGTCTTCAGCTGCCTCAGCTTCAACAACCCGCAAAGCCAGGTGCTTGCAGACTCCCCTCTCAGCAGTCTGGAAGAGAGGAATAGAACATAGGGAGAATTGCCTGGATTGACATTGGGATTGAGCAGGGCCACTATAGGTTCCTCCCCGCGGAGCTTGCCAGGACGAAAGGCTAGGTCTTGCGAGAATGTCTTTTGGATGCTGTTGAAGGGGTTAAGAATAAGATTAATAGTAATAGCAATAATGATCCTAATGAACATCTAGCTTAGTCAGCTGGAACTCAGGAAGCTGTGGTCCTTCCTCAATGAAACGCAGGCTCTCTAGAACTTACCTTAGCTACCTTGATGTACTGTGATGCCTCCAAAGGCCCACATGCTTCAAGATTGACATTCAAGTATGTGGCGCCATGTCGTGGATCGGGCTAGCAAAATTGCTGAAACCCTCAACCCTGAATAGCAGTTTCCATTTTATTTCCATGATCCCTATATAACCCCAATATTACCCAAAAAGGGTCATTGCTTTTGAAACTTGTATTTGGGGGATTACTCATGTCTCCTTGTTGGCCTGCAGGCCTCTACCGTGCCCTCAGGCGCCAAGTATCCAAGTGATGGGGCTTCAGGTCCTACATGACATGATCTTAATGGTCTGAGTGGTTTCTGGCGCTCGCTTCGGGATTCGGACCTTTTAGGGGTAGGTTTCGATTTGAATGTAGCAGTTAAAGACATCGGCATGAGCATCCGGTGGCGTCGCTGAGGGTCATCGCCTGCTCTCTTTGAGAGCAATGGCATCTTGAACTGCGCTGCTGGGTTCAAGTCATGTTGAACCCCAAAGAGGTGGCGGCAATTTTGTGTCATGTTTCATGCTCTGCGATGCCAGTGTTGGATAGCTTGTCTGCGAACTCTCTCCAGCAGCATGGAGCTATCAGCTACCCATTTGGCATACATCCTTGTACACTGGTGTTATAGTCACCCTTAAGTAGATAGAATATGGGGTGTATGGGGATCTCATTATAATTTACTCAAAGCCATATTCTGTCTACTTACAGGGGACTATAACTACAACAGTAAGAATAAGTCCCTAAACCCTAAACCCTAAACAGAATAAGGGACTACAGGCTTTTCACCGGGTCAGAACTTGTGACCCAGGGCGCATCGAGTGAGACATCTGGCTCCAGCTCTGCGAATGAAAGGCAAGGGTTTCTCATCTTCAGGCATCTTAGGCATGCTACAAAAATGGGAATTAAAACAAAAAAAACCGCGGGTCCTTGCAGGAGGATACGGATCCTAGAATATTGGGGTCTATATTTGGGGCCCCCTTTTGATTCAAACTCCAAAGTGCAGTCTTTAATGCTCACCGTAAGGGGCTACGGGCCGCAACGTGCTATCTGATAATCGCATAAGATTTGGCGCAGGCTACCTGCAGGTAGGCAAGACCCATGAACCGTTTGCTAAGTGTCCAAGTGCCTAATAATCATCTACCTACCCCAGACATTTACGATAATCACCATTGCCCTCAACCCAAGTACCTACTTATTGAGTACTTGGAGCCCCTGGATTTGGAATGTCTGCCATGAAGGCTGGCAACAATCTCATGTGCTCGTTGTGCAAAGTTATCGCTGTGACTTACTGCAAATCCTGGATCCGTTGCGATAGCTGGCCAGATTTTTCAGAAGCCAGAACAAAAAATGTGGTGCCATCTTCTGTGCAAACCATCATTTGAGGTTAGGTTGGTTTAGATGGTTATACAAACTTGCCCAGCTTGTAGGTATAAACCCATAAACCCTAGATGTAACCTTCTATAACCCCATTCAACCCCTTTTTGCCCAGAACAAGATGTCTGCTGACTCATGGTGGCGGCCTTGCACTTGAGATCCGTTGGATGCTGATTGGATACTTACCTTCCCATGACAATAAGTGTTTAGGGCTTAGGGTCTAGGGTTTAGGGTCATCCCAACATGGTACCTGCTCTATCTCAAGAAGATTGCTCTCACTGGGCGTCTGGGTGGTTCTTCTTTAGGAGAAGGGGCTAATCGGCGCATCTTTCCACCAAAGCCAGAAGTTCCAAGCAGCTAAATCTAATTAGGTAATATTTATAGACATCAGGGCCAGATGTGGGTGTCTTCTAGATTTAGAATTTAGAGCCCTAAGAAAATTCGATCAGAATCAACATGAAAAATCACCGCAGAGCCAGGATGAAATTTACTACGAAAGGACCATGTTAGCCCGACCAAGGTCTCCGGAGAAGCGCATGGATAGCAGGGTCACCTGACATAAGACAAAAGGCAACATCTGAAACTTTGGAGCTTCATTTGGGCTCTGCAATGTTGTGCGAGAGTCCTTTGATTTTCGGGCATATGGGGAGGGCTCGCATTGTCCGTTCTGCTCGTGCAACTTCAGGGCACATCTGTGCCGGAACCACAAATTGTGCCCATCCAAGCGCCAAAGCCAGAAGCTACCCAGGGGCTCCTGGGTCCTATGTACTTCTCTTTTGCGTTTATTATGGCTTTTTTTGCTAATTTATAAGGATTATAATATCCTGCCCCGAAAGGAACTACATTGGAGCTTCTGGGTAGAAGCTGGTGTGCGGGGAGGCCAAAGTCTCTCACAAACAGGAATGGCATGTTTGGTTGGCTTCGGGTCCCAAAGGATTCTAAGGAGATATAAGCCCAAACCATATTACTACTTCCTTATAAGGTGATCAGGGGACCCTAGAGATGGGGGTACGTAAGTAGAGATTTCAGGGGAGTACAGGGGTCCCCCTTCAGCATCGCATCAGAATTATTAGCTACCCGTAGTACCTGTAGCAGCAGGCCCTGGGATTCCTTGTCACTTTCAAAGGGCCCCGATTCCAAAGGACCCTAAGTAGCCGTAGAAGTAGAAGTCCATATGATATGAAGTAGGGATATATAGGGGTCACATAGGGTTTAAGGTCCCGCACACCTAGTGTAAAGTCGGGTTTCTAAGACCCATATCCCGAAACACTAAACCCTGCCCCACCCCTCAGGGCCAAGATAACCCCAGATCTTAAACTCTTAGCTGCCCTAAGCCTCTTCAGACATGGCCTGCTCCCCGCAAATCTCATAGGAACATGCATTATTTGACACGTGGTTTCGGCTGTTATCTTATGTTCCGATATAGAGGCTCCGGGAGATGCACTGCTGATCAGGCAGAATTCTATTTAGGATTCAGGGTTTACCCTAGGGCTCCCTGTCTCTAAATAAATAATGCTACATTGGGCCCCAAAGTCTATAAATATGACCTACATCGGGCTATTTGGAGCCTTGGGGTTACGGTCTACAACCCATCCCAGCCTCCTGTGAGCATTAGAGCTGCTCGCAAGCGACGCCGCGCGAGATGGAGCTGAGAAACCTTAGGACTCGTTTCGTGGATCTATGTGAGCTACTGTCTAAACTCCTAGTATCCCCCTTAATAACCCCTATAGTAGTCCCCTATATAATCCCCAATATATCCCCCGTTTAAGGAGTTTAGACTCTAGCTCATGTAGTCTTTGGGTTTGTAGTCCCCCTTTAGTAGATAGAGTATGGGGTATATGGGGATCTTACTATAATATACCCAAAGCCATATTCTATCTACTTAAGGGGGACTGTAAGGTTTAGGGTTTAGGGGCGAGCTATGCAACTTTCTACATCTGGAACCTAGACACCGCCTTAGATCCCCCATTCCATCAAAGCAGGGCCAAGGTAGCCTCAACACTCCTGAAAACCAATCGGCTTCCAAGGGGTTTCGGGGTTCAGCAGGCTTAAAGCCCAATATCCTTTAATTAGGGAATATACCTCACGGTACTGGGAGATACCAAACATGGTTTAAGCTATATTGCTTAATGAAGGGGTATTGGGTTCCCTGGGTAGGCAGAACTGCCCTTAACCCGACTCATTCTTGCTTGCGGAGAGGAAAGTGAAAGTAGTTTGATTCATTGGAGGGTTGTAAGTATGTCAATGAATAGTTAAAGCATGGATCCACTCCCACACCCCCCCAGGTAAAGTGGGAAATCCGGCGCGGCTTCTTACCCTTCCCTTCCCGCATTATTTTGGTTGGGAATTACGGAAAAATTGAGCAGTCTCGCCTCCCCGCACCTGTGGTGTGGATGGGGGCTTCCCCCTCACGGTATGGTGGCTATCTGAGGTTTAGGGTTTAAGGGCTATCTTCTAGGCTCTAAGCTAGGATGAAACCACGATACTCCTCACCCCACCTGTGGTCCTGTGGTCCGTGGTCTGAGTCTTGTGGTTGAATTACGGCGAATAAAAGGTTGACAGTGCTCGTAAACAACCTATTGCCCGACCCGCTTTGGTCCTGTGACCTGTGGTCTGGACCTTGTGTTTTACATTAGCTCTATGAAGGGTTGGAGGGTTTGTGGTACTTGTAGAAGCTATTATAGCAGTTCAAAGAAGATTTCCGGAAGGTGGGCAGAGGGTTATGGTTTTATAGAAATTTCATCTGAGATGAGGACCACCCCGATCCCCATGACTGTGAGTACTTTCAGACCGCGACAACAAGATGAGGAGTGTCTCCGCAAACGACAATTGCCGGGATCGCGATGAGGACCGCCATTGGTAAATTTCAGACGTGACAGCGTGAGGGGCTAACAGCGACGACAGAAACGACGACAGTTACAAGGATGGCAAAGGATGGCGACCCCGATTGTTCCCAAACCCATCCCCTGACACAGTTGACACTGTTGACACTGTTGAAGCATTCCTTAGCTGGGACACCCGGCGGGGGGTGGCGAAGTGAGAACCCGGATCATATGAGCTATAGTCTAGACTCCTAGCATCCCCCTGAATACGCCCTAAAAAATTCCCCTTCATGATCCCCAACATAACCGACTTTAAGGAGTTTAAATAAGCTGTAGCTTATCTATACTTATAACCCTCTTGATGTCCCTAGTACTCCCATGATACTGATAATACCTATTGTACTAAGAATACTAGTAGCAGTCGTAGTAAAGAATACTTGTTGAGGCAGGTATCCCAGTCAACGAGGCCATCTGCTCGTGCATTTTGTGCAGCTCGCCCTCCACGAAACTCTGAAAGCGGCCCTGGTTTCCTGGGTTCTAGGACTTGGGGTGTAGGGTTTTGGGATTTGGGTGTGGGGTATAGGGTTTGGGGTTTGGGTTTTGGGTTTTACTGGATTGCTGCCAAGGAACTTAACTTTACTAGAATAAGGAAACCCTATTCTTGACTGTATACTCATATTATGATAATTTAATCTAAATTTAATTCCTTAACAGCAACCCAATTCAAGGTTTGCTGTTCTGGGTTAACCAGGATGACCCAGGTACATGCCAGTACCATCAAACAGGGATCTATGTAGGTCTTCTTTGTGGGTATTTGGTAGCTTCTCTAGACACGGGGAACCCAATATAGGCCCCCAAGTACTATGATCTTTGGTATGGGAACCCCAAAACAAGTTCCCCTGATTTTGGGACACACTCAGACTTGGGCTCTGTAGATGATGCTTGGGGGCTTCTGGGTATGGTTTGGGGTTTAGGGTTTGAGGTTTTGGGGCTGGGGGCTTCATGGGGAATGCAATGAACCTGGCAAGGGAAACTGAGGTTTATACAAGGATACCTTCGGTTTAGGGCTACAAGGTTGAGTAGTTTGGCATACTGGTGGTGCGTGCAGGCTGTAGTTGATGATCATGATGCCATTCCCTCTCATTACGTCTACTGCCTGCGGGCAAGCGATTCATACAGCGTCCTGGCTCCTGATGCTAAGTTAAGTTGCACACGACTATGAGGTAAGGCCCCTTGTACAAGACCAATGAGGTGTGTGTGTGTGTGTAAACATGGGATGACTACGGAAGCTGGAGGAAATCTCGCACGGCTAGGTCCCGAATATGGAGGTTTGCCAAAATTAATTAGGGGGGCCATTTTGGGCTCCCCACAATAAGGATTATAATGTTTTACGGTCTATGTTGGGGTCCCCCTGTTTCGGGAAACTTCCATATACTGGACTTCTCAGATTTTGAAAATAAATATGGTTGTGCAAGGTCCACCTTCAGGATGGCTATGAGCCAGATTCTGAAGGGTTCGTCAAGCGTGTATTAACTAAACTTTCCCTAAGGGTCCAAGGACCCAACTAATAGGGTTTTAGGGCCCAAATACCATTAATGGTATAGTATTTGGGCCCTGAAACCTTATTATTTGGGTCTGGACCCTATATAGTCCCCTAATATCCCCTATAAAAAGGGACCCTATTATTTGGGTCCTTGGACCCTCTAGGTTTGAAGATTTTGCATCACAACACTAAGCCCAGCTGCGCTTCCAAGCCTTTATAGAAACGCAGCAGCAAGATCTTTGCACGCGGTTTAGGGTTTAGGGTTCAGGGTTTAGGGATCAGGGTTTAGGGTTTAGGGTTCAGGGTTTAGGGGTCTGTAACTTGGGCCTCTTTGGCTACAGATCCTGGAGCTGCGGCCCAACGAAGACGCAGAAAAACCCATCCACAATAGGATGCATGTAACAAAGTCAAATCATTCAGCAGCCTCTGGAACTCGAAGCACTTGAGCCCATAGCCTGTTACCAACTGAGGGCCTCTGAACTGAGCAGCTGCAGGTAGACGCTGACCATGAACCCCAAACCCTGACCCTGAATCAACGCTAAACTCAAAAGACAAGCCGCGGATGATCCACCCTTGGTCTTGGATAATCTTGCCAACCTTGCAGCACACTTACACATATGAATTATGAAGGTTTCCCACACACATGGGGGGCCCAAAATGGACCCTAATGTATTATGGCTTTTTGAATTCCCGGGGTTCCCCTAGAGAGAACCCCTGTGTTTTGCAGGCTACTACATCTCATTCGTGCCTGTTTCCTTCTGGGTAATACATGACCACTATAGACACAGTCTCTTGCAAGTGGTGGCTCATGTCAGGGCGCTTCTGGATAATAAATACATGCCACTATAGGCACAGTCTCTTGGACGTTGTGGCTCATTTCAGATGCTATACACGGAGAGGGTCCCCTAAGTCAGTATCAGTGAACAGTTCCAGGTGCAGGGCCTTCACGGACTGCAAGGAAGTTCTGCTGGGTGGGATGGAATGGGAAGCGTCAGAAGTCTCACTTCAAAAGCACCCTACTTGTGCGCAGCTCTCCACCGCACACCCGGGACTTCCAATGCAATATCAAACAAGCCGGGTTTAGGGCTTGGGGAAAACATCTGCGTAGTCCAGTGGAAAACTGCCACTAGATAGGCCGCAATATCTGCACTACCACCCCGACCTTCATTAGGTGTGTATATATATATATTAATATATAATACTACATTATACTCCATTATATATAGATATATAGGCTATACTCCATTATATATACGTAGGTTACATATTGTATGTATGGACCAGAAACATCTGCAATCAACCCAGACCTTCTCTCGGAGCACAATGATCTGAACCCCCGACTGTATCCTCCAAAACGCTAGACAGAAAGCCCGACGACATGCTAAGCTCAAAGCCATCGAAATCCTCACTCCTCATCTCTTCCAACCGCGCTTATGTTACCCCTCCTAGGTTTCCCATCGTTGGGGGAGTAGTATAGGGGGGTTGTAGGAGAAGTCAGGATAAACCTTAAACCCTCAACCCGGCACCCTTTCACCGGAATTCCGTCTGGAGGCGTCCATGGCCCGAGCTTGCCCACTAAACCGGAGGCAGCCCATGAAGAACTCCTATCAAAGTTCCCTGAGGGTTTAGGTTTTAGGGTTTAGGTTTTAGGGTTTCGGGTTTAGGGATCCAAATAGCCTAATGTATTACCCTAACAATGGAGGATCGAATGGACAAGCAACTGGAAATGACATGGAAACTTGGAGTTTATAGGGGTGTATACGGATCCAAAGTTTCCCTGGGGATCCAAATAGCCCAAAGTAGGTCACTTTTACAAACTCTAGGGCCCAAAGTAGGTCATAACTGAGAATAACAATGGTCTTACTCATAGTACTCAAAAAAGAAACATTATCAATATGTTACTAAGAACCGTATTTTTACAGATTTGGATCCCCAGGGTTTGGGCTTCAGAAGACTAAGCCTAGCTGGGAATTTCCAGCCTCAGGGCCGTTGGTGGGGTTGCTGTAGCAATGGCGGGCCAAATAATCTGTAGTCTTCAAGTCCTAGTATCCCCCGTAATAACCCCTACAATATAGGGGCTGGGGTTTAGGGTTTAGGGTCTAAACTCCTAGTATCCGCTCTAATTAATAACCCTTATACTCCCATATATAATTCCATATGGAAACCCTGTAAGGAGTTTAGACTATAGACAAAATTTCTGCATGTCTCCAAGTACCAAGACCCTACTAGTACCCCTAATTGAGGATAAATACCCCCTAAGAGTTGGTACCTAGGCCCTACTCGATATTCACAGAGGGTAGGAGGAGGGTCTAGGTAAGTAGCTTACACCTCTGGAATTGGTATTCAAGCAAACTAGGCCGCGCAAAATGTGAAATCCCTAAACCCTAAACCTGAGTTGGTGTCAGTGGCCTCGGGTTCTGCGATGTGGGTGGGGGGAGGGCGTGGCTTTGTATGCGCGTGTGCAATATAGAGCCCGTGAAAAACCCCTCTCTGGAATATACACCAGCGGCACTGGCGAATAGGAGAAACCTTGACCCACCAAGCTTTAGGGACTTCTTTGACAAGATTTTGGAGAATCCGGTAGACCTTTGAACCCTCAAGCCCTGAACCCCTCAGCCCTAGCACCCTGAACCCTCAAGCCGAAAACCCTGGAAGCCCTGATTCAAGGCTCATAGCCTCCACCTCCACCAGGCCCCCGCCATCTTGGTCCTCAGATTAAGATTCTAAGACATCCTGACTGGGGGTTCAGGATCATCATTGCAGCTTAGGACGGTTTGGGCTTCAGTTGCGTTAGTTCGGAGTTAGGCTTTGAGGAGCTCAGGATTTGCAGGCGTCTTGGTCGGATTCAGCTCTTGTGCTCTGACAATCTAAGTCCTCTACGCGACTGAGGAATAAGTGACTGTAGGGGTTTGTCCTGCCAACAGTGTCCTGCACACCCTCCCCTGACAAGACCCTCCCATGTCCGGAGCGTCGTGGGCACTAAGCCCTTGATACGGAAAGGCTACACTCCTGAAAGGTTGCACCCACCCAATCCAAAAATGGTTCCCAGTTTGGGGTTTTGAGTTTAGGGTTAAGGGTCTAGCGTTACGTAGTGCTAACATCCTTTGGCATCGGAACCCGCAGAAGAAGCGGATAGGGGATGCGGAATCTATGCCATCTAGCCTGTTCCATCTACTTTCTGTGTGCTTGTGGACTGCCAGAAAAGTTCTAAGGCTTCCTGTTCCTCTGCATGCGAACAGTAGCAAACGACAAACAAAACAACACGCTGATCAAATATGGCCCGGGATCGAGAAGCTTGAAGAAGGACCATGAATCCCATACCTGAGTCGATGATGGTGATGATGATGATGATGATGATGATGATGGTGAGGATGATGTTTGGTTTAGGTTTTTCACTTAGGAGACATTCTTGGATGCGCTGCTTGCTTCTCATGCTGCAAGACAATGAACCAACAAGGCCGTCAGGACTCATAAGCCGTATGAGCCCCGATGCCGTGCCTTGTCATGAAGACTGCGCCTGCTGAGCTCCCATGAACTACTTGGAGCTTCGGAACCCTACAGTTCCCATTCCCCATGACCTGATGAGGGCTAGAGACTGTACACATATGAAATTCTCGCAATTGCACAAAGATCATGCCAGGAGCATGATAGACAAGCTTGCACGCAGTACACCATAATGTGCTGTAGGCATCATCAAGAAGTCTCTACGGAAAAGGGCTACTAGGGGGTGACTGAGCGCGACATGAGGGTGACCTTTCTTGGGGTGGTTTGGGAATTGATGGGAATTGCAGATGTCCGTAAACGAGGGACCTCAATACATATGTAAATATATACACATATCTCTGTCTCTCTCTCTCTCTCCCCAAATACTACATTCCTTTATATAGGGAGTCATGAGGGGTACCCCTAATTTTGGGAAACCCCAATCTGAGAGCTAGAGATGCCTAAGCCCTGTTACACTTCACTTAGTACCTAGACCCCCTTGAAGGTTCCCAAAATGGAATCTCCCAATAATCCTCTGGCTGTCCTAGTGAAATCATGTTTTTTTTTCTTTTTTCGGAGGGGGGGGATGCGTGGGGGTGTGGTGGTCCATTTTTGGATTGTTTGAGGGGTCTGGGGAAGCATCGACCCTAAGCCCTAAACCCTATGTATAATGAATTCCCTGATTCCGTCCTAACCCCAGAAAAGCGTTGCTGAATGATCCAGGTACATCAAGCCCCAGCGTCTCGAAGTACTCTCCTTGCGTGCTGTTTGCAGTACTAGGGGTTGACAGTATAGGGTTTCGGGTTTAGGGAGTTCAGAGTTCAGGGTTCATGACTTTGGGCGTGGGGCTTCCCGAACTGAGGGGAAAGTGCACCTATCATAAGGTTCCTCTTTAGACCCACCGGATTAAGATCCTTGCTATATGGAATCCCTAGTCACGACACCTGACAGATAGTAGTTAGCTTCCAAGAAGACGCGGTCCTGATAGCCACAACTTGGACGTCGTACATAAACAACCCTTGCGTAGCGGACACCGAAACAAAGGTCGGCACCATGATCAACCAAACATCCATGTAGCGTTTGCAGGAGAGACTCACCCTTTGCCCCCTAGACTCTTTGCCCGACACCTTTACACCTCTTATGGCTGCATATGCGTATACTGGGTTTGTAGGGCCGGTTTGTAGGTATTTCTACTACCACCACCAGCACCACGACTACCACTGGCACTACCACATTATTCTGACTGTTCTGTTCCCATTGCTAGTACTGTTGCTAGTATCACTATTACTACTCTGGGGCTATGCAGCATCTTTTGACATAAGGGAGTCTCTACACACATAGGAGCTTTGAGCTCAATTCAGAAAATCCGTACTTTCTAGGTCTGCCGTTTAAGGCTTCCTAACCTCGACCTTGTAGGAGCAGTAAGAGTAGTATCTCGGGTAGTTGCCAGCAAGATGATATTTCGAGACATGCTCATCTTATGGAAAAACAAAATGCAAACCGCCCCACACATCTCAGGCCAGCCACGAACGGCTGGAGAATCTAGCTTCTCCTCGAACATGCCGTATGTGATGCCACCGTTTTCCCTCGGTTTCATTGGACGATTGAGGGCTTCGGGGTCTCATCAGGGTCGTGATGTGCAGCACAGAAAATCCACTCGCTATGCGAAACTCAAAGCGTAGAGCCGTTTGCTGCTGCAAGCAGGGTGGCTTGAACTTGCCCATACCTGATGAAACAAAGAGAGGACTGTTAAACATTCGGCACACGCAGTTTACAGTCACCACTCTAGTATTCAGGAGCATGGGTGATTCCCATGAGTCTCCCTCACTTCTTCATACCCTATAAGTGCATGCGGGTTGCTGAATATCGAACTTGCTGAAGAGCGCGCGCAGCTTCTTCAGGTGAGACTCCTGCCAAGTTTAGGGTTGACGCCCGGGCTTAACAGCTCCTGATTTGAATGTTTTTCAAAAGCTCAAGTCAGATGCTCGTAGAATAAAAACGGCACCGAAACTAGACTATATGATGGCTATTAGGGTTTAGGAGCCCCTTTCCTCTTTTGGTGCCCCCTTTGTTCCGCGTTGCATGGCAGAGGGCGCAAAGAGTGACCCCCTGTCCTTGATTTGCACTTTATAGATGGACATTGTTCTATAACAGGCCACCTGATAATTCATTCTTGGTGGCAGAACCAAGTAAGACTATTTGCTTCTGGCACATTGAGGATGTAATGCTACTCTCGCTGGAGAACAATATTCCCAAAAAGCACTTGTTACCTCCCAGGTTCCATGTTTGTCAGGTTTGAAGTAGAGAGTTTTGGGTACTTAAGCCTGGGCTGAAGATTCCGTTTCGCAGCCTTGGCTTGAGGTCTAATTCATTGCTGTAAAGTTAGGATTCAGGGCCTAAGGTTTCAGATTTAGGGCTAAAAGATTAGGACTTGGGTTTCGTGTTGCCAAGAGTTACTCCGTGCTCAGATGAAAAGATTTGTCATTCCTGTTGTGACTAAAAATCCGGCATGGCCTTAGTATACTGTAACTACGTAATGCCCTGTGCTGCTTGAGGTCATTTCTCCCCCGGCAGCAAGAAGTCTACCTAAGCCTGGACATCTGTAATCGTCAGAGGTTATATGAGGGTTATATAGGTGATATAGGGATCATGGAAAAGAAAATGGAAGCTACCATTCAGATATCTAGTTTTAGGGTTTAGGGTGACCAGGGCTAACTCTGGACCGCCCTACAGTCAGTACGTACATACATACATACATACATACAGACAGACATACATACATACATACATACACATGCGGTCACAAATATGTACATACACGTCTATCTGTAGAAGTGTGTGCCATATGTGCATTTACATGTTGTACGGATTTTATATCGACATAGACACAGGGTGTAGAAACATGCTAGGACATCCAACGCAGCCTGGAACATTTCAGCGCCCCATCCCCCAAAAACACGACAAAGCAGAAAAGTGGTGTGGGGCTTTCTTGGGGCAGGAGTAATCCCCAAACCCTAAACCTCAAGCGCCAAACCATACTTCATGGCGTAACGTCTCTATGGTAGTTTCTTCCTAAGCCCTTTTCGCCACACCTTGTTGTCCAACATGTTCTGCACAACGGTGGCGTGGTCGTTTTGAGCAGATTCAATGGCAGAATTGCAGAAGACCTCACTTGTCAATCATCTCGAAAGGACTTAGTCTGTAACGCTGACCACACGGTTGGGGTCATATGCCAGGTTTCCGAAGCAATCATCGTATTGTATACATATATATATATGTATATGTATACAAGGGCTTGTTAAGGTGCCAGCAGACCCAAACTTTCTCATGCAGTTGCTGCGTTTGCTTGGCGCTGCGCTTATTTTGAAACATGCCCTAAGTCAAGCCCTGCCCCACATGAATGGGCAAAAATCTTAAGTTTGAGACCTGGATCGTTGTTTGGAGTACTGCGTAAGAAAAGGTTTCTGGCACAGCCAATGCCCTGAATGAGTCCTTTGCCCGCAACACTTGATTGCTTGTTTCGCTGTTGTAGTGGTTGCACATCGAACGTGGTTCGGACAACGGCAACGACAACAAGCCTTTCTTGGAAAGCCGAGCGGCGGCCGTCACAACATTCAAGACCTTGGCTGGCTGACTAATATCCGTTGATTAGGAAATCTACTTTAAATCGTATCAGGGATCCTTAAACTAAATTCCCTACCTAAGGGATACAGGCAACATCCCTGAATTAGGGAATCTACCCTAATTGATACTCAAGTCCCTAATGCTCTTGGGCTTTCTGGATACTTCTGAGATGGAGCACTCAGGCTTCGAGTTGACGTGGGTCTTGGGTGTCGACTCTGATTAAAAAAACCAAAGGGTTCATGTAGGGAAGTAGTATATACTTAGGGCCCAAAGGACTTTCCATATACTTCTTTTGGGGCCTAGGTGTATAGTACAAAGCTACATGGACTCTTTCGGAGACATTTCGGATAAAGACAGTCTGGGTTGCTGTCAAAGTTACCATATTCTGTGTAGATATTTAAAATAATAGGGTATCCTTTGTATAGTAACTTCGTGGAAGTTCTTTAACAGCAGCCAGCAGTTCCAGGTTGCTTCGTGATGCTTAAGCCTTGTGCGGGTCAGGTAACAAGGTTCTAGAACTCAATAGCATAAATCGAAAGCAAAGAGCGGCTTCCTGTTCTTCAAGTAATCATAACTTCTATGACGGAGGCTTCGAAGAAAAGAGGAACATGGTGCCCATCGGCTCATGCCAACTCCCAAGTAACACAGCCCAGAAGAGTGGCGCTGCCTGTCCAACCCTGGGATCTAAATCCGAAGCCTTAAACCCCAAGCCCAAAATCCAACTGAGAAAGACACATGCCAACTGCCTTCGGAGAGCTCAGCTAGACGCCAGAAGATTGAACAAATGTTCATCAGAATGAAAAACTTCGAATATGCAAAATAAACTCCCACAAGATTCTCAACTGGTCAAAGTGCTGCGAAATATGTGAAGGAGATATAGATGATGAAGCATGTAGTCCAAATCCAGGCCTCCAGTCAAAGGGGTGGAGAGATGCCACAGTCCGTCCCTAACACCCATGCAACCAGAAACCGGGATCCCTGCTGCTTATTAATCTGCATGCTCTGCATATGGGGGTTTCCCAAAATTAGGGGTACCTTTTTGGGGGGTCCCCATAATAAGGACTATAGTATTTCTGGGTCTATATTGGGGTCCCTATTTAGAGACACTACCATCTACAAACCCAAAACCGTGCAGACGCCAAACAAAGAGCAAGACAACGCCTAAATTCCATGCCTCGGAGATGTGGCGCAATGGCAATAGTACTCCCTCCCAGCTCACACCGCCAGCGATGCTCATAAAGAGACCTTTCTGCTTCTTCTTGGCAGAGTTCTACACATACGGCTCAGGGTCGAGAATATGTAAAAGGCCCCGAAAAAAAGCCTTTCTTCTTGGCGGAGTTATGTGCATAAAGTTCTAGCCTTCGGTGCTTAGGTTTCTGGACCCCGGGTTTTGGGACACCTCGTTGCAATCTGCCACTGCCGTGAATCGTCCATGAACAACACATCTCTTGACGGGCTGCCCCCGAATCCCTGAATCTGCCGCCAGGGTGTGGATTTCACTCGCGGTGTCGCACCGAGCATCTTGACTGCCACCCAAGCAAGAGGGCGCAAAATGACATCTTTTCAACCACCTCCCAACTTGGCCAACCCTCCAAGCGGAGGCAGGGCGCTAAAGTTTATGAAGACACCGGGTGGAGTTGTATGCTTCAGGGTACATCTTCCTTCACTTCAGGACGTGCAGAAATAGGGTGTAGGGTCCCTAAAACCCTAAACCCTGGGTGTAGGGTTCGAGCTTTGGGTTTAGGATGGTTAAGGGGTTTTGGACAGGTATACATCGCATCTGTACATCTTTTTCAGGCATTTTGTAGGGATCCTTCAGAACGTGGTAGGCTATCTACGCAAAAGCATGCAGGAGTAATGCAGCGACTATGTGGGCATGTAGGCTTTATAGGTCAAAAATGCACTGTCAAATGGAAAAGCTTAATTACAACAAAATGAAACCACTGAAGTAATTTAGCTCTGTGGTGTAGGGTCTCAGAAGGGTAAAAGGTATACCTTGAGACACAGGTTGGTCTTGGTATGGTACAAGGTGTTGTTGTAAAGAAACGTTGGAGCTTCCTGTATGGTCTAAATGAAGAAACAAGTAGTCGCATGCGTATTCGCTGTGCAGCTGCTTGAAGCTGCACACCAGGAAGTACGCGCAAGGGACTCTATGCGGAGTCCATTGTTACCTAATAAATACAGGATTGTCTATCAAGCCGCCAAGCCGTAACTGCGCAGTGCTGCGGGAAGCATGGAGAGACTGCGGACTCGCAAGGACCACCAGCAGGGCCACTAGCATGGACAGTGTCCATCCTATGCTTATTGAACGTTCCAAGTTTTAGGAACCAAAGCTGCGCGTCTTCTGTGTGGAGCTCTTTCTGGTCTTAATGCAATGCTAAGACTCCCAGGTGGTTCTCAGAATCCTATGGCAAGTTACTAGGATCCTTACAGAATTCTCTGCAAAACCCTCACACACTCAACCATCTCGAGAACATCTACACCGAATATCGAATACGAGTTACGTCGCGGCCACGTTAAGCAAAGACCATCGCTAGATGAAGAAAGTAGAGCCACAATCTCATGTGCGTAAGTTGTTGTTCTTTTTTGCCATTGTTGTCGTTTTCTGCTATCACGAACATTGGTTGGTATTACCGTTATGATGGCTACACTCAAAAGCCGAAGGGCTCCCTTAAACAGACTTCAATGAATAATATCCAGGCGGTAATCTTTCCCGTGCAACCTACTGCTTGCTATGGGGGATGATACATGGTCTACAACATGGATCCATGGATCCATTCCCTAGTAACAACTTCAAGCAGAAATCTCTAAGCCTTGTACCGTGGTCTCTGTTATCTTTTCCATTCCCCCTTTCCCCACTACAGTACAAGCCAGCAAGAGAAGTCTGTACGATGGTCTGCTGCCCTGCAGCTCAGCATGGTGTTGGGGAGCGAGTCGAAATATCGAATGCTAGCCTGACCACTAATCGGGTTGCTGTTCAGAATGAGCCTAACTTTCGTCAGCATCATATAAGCATACTTTGTAGCACTCTTCCAAAGTCGCCGTTGTAGAAATATGGCACCCCGCCCTCCCATGTATATATGCCTGAAATGTGGCAGGGCCAGTATTTGACTATCACGCTTCAGTGATGTTGAGCATTATTTTCATGCCCCCCGGGTAGCGCTGTACACGCCTGGCCTCTTAATTATTTCGGGACGTGCCCTGCCACAATTCGATGGGCTGTGATGAAACTTGAATGAAGGCTCACGGACATGAAGCATTGATACTTGAAGGTTCGTGGATAGCTAGAAGTGGGAGTAACTAGTAGTATAACTTTAGCTACAGTAAGCTATAGCCTCATTCAAGGCACGTATACCCCTATTTAACGCTAAACGATTCCAAGTAGCCGGGGGGGCTCTCTGGATCCAGTGCTTGGGAATCGCAGGGCAGAGCCCCGAAGGTATAATGCGTTCGGAACATATTAGCGTTCCTAAATCTTACTGAGGCTTGGTTAGGGAATCAGGGAACATAGGGGCATAATGGAGGGCTATATAGGGATAATGGAAAAGAAAATGGACACTACTATTTAGGGTTTAGGGCTTAGGGTTGGTAGGGAATAAGGGCATACATTATGTAGGGGTTACATGGGGCTTGCATCCCCCTATTCCCTACTTAGCACCAGTAAGTGACCCCGACGTTGCAAGGAATCTATCACATGAGCTATACTCTACACTCCTAGCACCCCCTTAATGAGTACAGTAATGCTCCCTGTATAATCTTCTTGATCACCGTCCCGAAGGAGTTGAGACAGGTTTAGAATATACCTCACATGAACCTCGTGTCTCCTGACATGTAAGGCTCCCTTTCAGTCGAAGCCCCGTCGTCTAACAACGGGCAAAACTGCGCATCCTGAACACATGGGCCCAGCGAGGTTTTGAAGAGTTTTTACTATGACTATAGTCCCCCTTGAGTAGATCGAATATGGCTTTGGGTATATTATAATAAGATCCCCATATACCCCATACTCAATCTACTTAATAGGGGGGACTGTACACACAAAGAATATGAGCGGATACTGCCGATGAACAAATACTGTAGCTGCTCTGCGAAGCCTCACAGCAGGATTTAGAAACGGGTTTCATAGGGGTCCCAAACCAGTCAAACACACAGACTTGAACCAAAAACCTGAACAATCTTAATGTATCTTGCAGACACTATCTGCTGTACCCCTATAGGACATGTCCAGAATACCTACGTGGACCCAGAAAGGAGCATTTTCCCCAACTGATTTCTAGAACCCTAGACCTCTCGACAGTTGGAGTGGGGTGGGGTAAGTGGACCTTGGATTCTGGAAGCTGCTATCCCCAACCCAACCCCGCCTCAAAAACCTGCGTTGCTGTTAAGGAACCTGAATTAAGCTACTATATTATACTCACTATATACTTATAGTATCGAAATCTAACATAAATTCCCCAACCCTCCCCGCCGCTCTAAAAGCGCCTCTGACTTTGAAAACATCGCTGAAACCCACTCTGAGACTATTGAACTCCCGTGAACAGACACCTTCCTCCAGAAAGGCCAGGACAGTCCATGCAACCTCCTATGTTAAGCCCCCAAAAGTAGTATAGGGTTTAGGGTATGTGTTGTTCTCAAAATTATGGCGTCCTTCTATTTTTAGACTATCTTTTACGGAGGGGACCGAGCTGAGACCCTAATTTTAAGAACTACGCATCTGGTGGCCTCCTTGGCCTCATGTGGTAACGAAAGCATCTCCTAAGACAAGGATGCGAGGGCAGGGTTCGTTTTGCAGTAGGTGAAGCTTTCTCAAAACAGGGTTGGGCCCCTCCTTGTAGCCTTTAGACAGGGGAGTATATGGTGCCTATTCAGGGTATATAGAGGGTAGGGTAGATGGAGGGTTTAGGTAGAGACCCCTACAATACATGGCAGAACAAACCCGACGACAAGGGCTCGTTTTTGAGGATGTTGCACATGGTAGTTCGAAAAACTCGCGCGGGCAGATCTATCGCGGAACACTGGTGTCGCATCCAAAGAAGCTTTACAGCGACTGCAGGAGAAAACTCATACATCACAGTTTCAGACTTATGCTTGAATGCCTTATTATAAGGTGTACCTCGCACTTTGAGAAGAGGTCCAGGGCATTCGGATGTTGAGTTTCGGGTCAGTGCTTCCAGTTTGGAAGGGAACTTTGCGGGTGGGAGTTGGCTTTCCCCCAATATGAATATGGAATTTAAACACCTACAAAGAAAGAACCTTCAGACTTGAGATTCCTAAGCAAAGCTCAGAACAAGGCCCCTTCTGACAGAAACCTCCAGTTGAGCATTGCTAAGCTTGCAATTCTTTCGGGCAGAACCTCGTCTTCAGGTATGCGCCTTCAGGGGCCCGTGACCAAAGAGCAACGCAACACCCTTTAGATGCCCAAACTTTGTCTACTTCAGCACCTGTCTTTCGAGCCCGCGACCCCTGAGTCAGATTTTTGGTGCGACTTCAGGCTTTTGGTAGGCTGGCAACATGGGTGGCGTAGATCTTCGGTAGGGCAATCACCACGACTACCAAGGACGACGGATAAGCATCATAAGGGTGCAACGGAAGTATTGTTGGCACGGCTTCCCATCTGCGCCTGCCACGATTGGGGCAGGGGGTTAGGTTGACGTATAAGGCAAACACACACGATGTGCGAGTAAAGACCTTGCTTGCCACAACCTGCCTGTATTTGCTGCAAGACTCCTTTGAAAAACCAAGCAAAGCAGAAACGAGTATGCAAACCAAAGCTGCAACACGTTTAGCACGTGAACCATGGGCCTTGTAATCAATTGTCCTCCATTCTCAGGAATGTTCCCTGTCAAAATCAAAAGCCTTTTTGGAATGCAAAAGAATATTCATGGTGATGAGTATTCATTTGTTTTGAAACATCGCCCAGCATCTGCGTGAGTGTGGTCATGAATGGCTTGCGTGAAGAGCACAGCAAACACCTCAGCTGTGGGCGTCACGCTTTACTGTTGAGTTGGGTTTCGTGCGTCGGGAGGAAAAGATTCAGCACACCCGGGCGCGACCTCATTAAGGAACTAACGGTTGCCACAACAACTGCAATTTTTCCCAGCTATTCGCGACGTTTTAGAGCTCGTGTGAACGCAATCTTCTGCTCAAACGCACTCTTGACCCGAACACGCCTTGTAGCGCAACAAAAGTACGCAAAGATCTTGCCTCAAGCAACCCCATGTTCCAGATAATAAACCCCTC